TTGACACGGAAATAGTCTGTTGCATGAGCAACCAATCAGGGATAAGAAGAAAGTTACCTTGAGCGCAGCTGTCAACTAGATCATGATGTAATGTGAAACATTACACTTAGCTGCAAACCATAATAAAGTAAAAGTTCAAATGCGGATGTCTTCCTGTCAGGGTTAACCACAATGTGCAATCACACAAAAGTCAGGGAGACCTTATGCTATATTAGAATGACACTTCTTCGGATTCTGCATTGAAATGTATTTTAGTGGCACTGCATGAATTTAGATGGTTGTTCAGGTTAAAAAATGAATTTAAAATCAGGGACAGCTGATGCTATCTAGATGAAAATTGTTTGGTACTGACTAATATGAGAAGATTGAACAGGGTAAAATTGTTGTCTAGAGTAATTTCAGTCTTGGATAAATTTTGTAAGCCCATTTGGACAAATCTCCCATGAATCATGCATTTAGAGGAATTCAGAAATGCAAACAGGTGATAATATCTAATTAGGTCAAAGTTTTTGTCTAGAACAGGTTAAGTTTCAACCATACTTAAAAAAAACGTATACAATAGTCAAATGCTCATGTTGAGTATTTAAGTCCTTAACAATTGAATTTGGACAAATAGTTACTCATATTTTAGAACAATTTGATAAAAATTTGCATATTTTCAACAGAATCTAACAATTTGAAATGTTTTCACATTTTCAGCACAATCGCTTTATTACAGAAGGCAGGGAGAGAGAGCCAGAGGTGTTGTTTGTAGGCGATTCTCTTATTCAGAGATTGGCACAAACAAATGTACGTAAAAACAAGATTTTATCAATTTTCTACACAGTCATTTGCAGTTAACATACTATATAGCTTAAAGTAAATGTTGTTATCATATGGAAATTTTAAGGCAGAGTAATTAAAGACCTGCTGTAAATAAATTTTCACACATACAGTTACACATGATACACACAACTTGAAGATTGTATTTATTTTTTAAATTCCTTGTAACTGCAGATCCAGATTACAGTTTACATAGATATCATGGATATTATTAAGTTTAAAAAAAAATCACACAAGTTTTAGGTATAGAACAATAGGTGTGAAGTGTGTTTTGATAGCATTTATAGTCTGATTTCTGGTTTGGATTTACCTGGATTTACCTGGGAATACCTGATTTAGCTTAATGTATTTTTAAGAGGTTTAATACATTTTATAAACATTTCATTAAAATTCTATATATTTATAGGAAAATATTTGATTTTATTGAATAAATTATTAATATTTGTCTAATATTATTTATTAATTAAGTCCAATTTCTTAAAAAAAAAGAATACTTTTCAATCTTGATAAAATTCTAGATGAATTAAAGATTTAACATATAATAAAGAAAATAGTGAATAAAAATTAATTTGAAAATAATGCCAGAGCCAAGAAGATGTTAAAATCATTAGATAACATGGATAATCAAATACATTAACTTTGTATTTATTCTCTTATTTTTCACTGTAAGTTCACCTTTCAAATACTTACTAAGTATAGTATAGACTATAGCAATTAACTAATTATCTCACCTGGTCAAATTCCCGTTTTTCACACATTTTATAATTACCTGTAATTCAAATGTGTGCAAAACGGGAACAAACCATCCTATGTAACAGGGGTGTCTTCTAGCTATTCCCACTTTTTAAAAATCTCAATTCCACCTATTCCCACTTGCAAATAACAATAGATGTTTTGAGTAGTTAATTGGTTTTTACAGTAATTAGAGTAATTACATCCCATCTTAGATTTACCTGTATTTTACCAGTATTTTGTACATTTTAAGACAGAAAATAAATATATTTATCAAAAAAATATTTATAATATTTAAAAAATAAAATAAATATATGAAAGAAATGCATATAAATAACTGGAGTTAAAAATAAATAAAAAGTTTAACAGAATAATATACTAAAAATATACTTAAACTCACTTTTTTAAAGCAAATAATTTATCTGCTATTTTCATTTGAAAAAGTCTAATTTCTCATTGAAATAGAAGTAAAAAGCCAGATTTTTAAATTTAAAATAGCATATTTACCTGTCCTCTATAACTCCCACAGTGGTTTAATATATAATTACTGTTTTTACAGTAAATGACATGTTTATTCAGCTAATTATTTGTTTACGCAAAAATTCCACCTATTCCCACGTGAAATTTTACCTTTTTCTACCAGATTTTCAAAAAGTGGGAATAGCTTGAATAAACCGTAACAGGTATGGGAGAGTATGTTTGAGCCTCTACACTGTCTGAACTTTGGGATCAGAGGCGACCAGACTCAGAATATCTTGTGGAGGTTGATGAATGGAGAGCTGGACACACTAGAAGCCAAAGTAAGGTTAATGGATGGAAAGTTATCTTAATTTCTTAATAACATAAATGTTGCAACAGGAAGGATGATATTTTAAAGTTAAAAACATTATATATTTCCTTTTAACATTTACAAAATATTCCCAGAATCACATTCTTTGGAAATATCCCCGGTCCTTGTTTACCCATATGTTAGGGGATGCTCCTTTGCCAAGCCTTTGAATAGAAAATTAGATTTTGTTTAATTTCTAAGTCTTGTTTACTTCAATTTAAATTAATGATTTGTGATTGTGCTAGATATGCAAAACATGTTTTTGAATAGTCAGTAATGTAATTTGTCATTAAATATCAAGTTAAATTGTTATTGACAGTTATGTGTGCAATGGCACTGTAAGAAAGTATACAGAGTTTGAGATTAAAGTGATTTTATTGGGCCAGTCCACAAACATCTTTTATCACTCCTTGCACTTTGAATTTTCTCTCTTGTTTCAGGTAGTGGTTGTTCTTGCTGGCACAAACAACTACACTAACACAGCAGAGGAAGTGACGGACGGGATCATGGAAATCGTCAACGTCATACAGAACAAACAGAATAGCACACAAATAATTGTCATGGTAACTAGATAAACAGAATAGCACACAAATCATTGTCATGGTAACTAGATAAACAGAATAGCACACAAATCATTGTCATGGTAACTACATAAACAGAACAGCACACAAATCACTGTCATGGTAACTAGATAAACAGAATAGCATGCAAATTATTGTCATGGTAATCACTAGATAAACAGAATAGCACACTAATCATTGGCATGGTAACTAGATAAACAGAATAACACACAAATCATTGTCATGGTAACTAGATAAACAGAATAGCACCTAAATCATTGTCATGGTAACTAGATAAACAGAATAGCACACAAATCATTGTCATGGTAACTAAATAAACAGAATAGCACACAAATCATTGTCATGGTAACTAGATAAACAGAATAGCACACAAATCATTGTCATGGTAACTAGATAAACAGAATAACACACAAATCATTGTCATGGTAACTAGATAAACAGAATAACACACAAATCATTGTCATGGTAACTAGATAAACAGAATAGCACACTAATCATTGTCATGGTAACTAGATAAACAGAATAGCACACAAATCATTGTCATGGTAACTAGATAAACAGAATAGCACACAAATCATTGTCATGGTAACTACATAAACAGAACAGCACACAAATCACTGTCATGGTAACTAGATAAACAGAATAGCATGCAAATTATTGTCATGGTAATCACTAGATAAACAGAATAGCACACTAATCATTGTCATGGTAACTAGATAAACAGAATAACACACAAATCATTGTCATGGTAACTAGATAAACAGAATAGCACCTAAATCATTGTCATGGTAACTAGATAAACAGAATAGCACACAAATCATTGTCATGGTAACTAAATAAACAGAATAGCACACAAATCATTGTCATGGTAACTAGATAAACAGAATAGCACACAAATCATTGTCATGGTAACTAGATAAACAGAATAACACACAAATCATTGTCATGGTAACTAAACAGAATAGCACACTAATCATTGTCATGGTAACTAGATAAACAGAATAGCACACAAATCATTGTCATGGTAACTAGATAAACAGAATAGCACACTAATCATTGTCATGGTAAGGCTGTTTAAAATTAAAACTACGTTTAACGTCACCCGCGCGCGTAGGTTTATGAGAAATTCGTCTTTGAAAAAAACAAACAATTCGGAATTCCGTATGTCCGTTCCGGTTTGATTCTTCAATTAGCGACTGAATTCTGCTTCCCGTAGTGATAGAAAATGTGCTTTGATAGCCGCAGTTAAGGCAGTTGGTGTCTTATTAATGAAAACTAGATAATTAAAGAGTTTGGAACCATAAATGTAAGTAAAAAATAGATTATTTTATGATTATATTAATGACAAAGTCTTGTTTGTTGATTTTTTTTGTCAGTCTTCGAATCATATGTACAGACTGACAGTGACAGACTCTCAGTTCGTGATTCTATTGGCTGAACTTTTCATTGTATTTTGGAGAGAATCGAAAAACTTTTTTTACTGAGTGGAAACTGTGTCAAAAACCAAGATTTATATACAGTGAAAAGCATCATTTAAATCTTACTAATATGTTTCATATTAAAAATATTTCTGTAAAAATCGAAAGGAACAGTAATGAGTAAAGTAATTGATTTCTTCATAATTTATGTACCTACAAATAGCTACAATTTATGGGAAAGATAATATACTTGTCATAACCATTTGAGCAGGGAGAAGCTTACCGAAGATAGGGCCTTTCAAGTGAAGGAGAGTAAGGAAAGTGGTTGGGGTATTCCAAGATGTGAAGAATCCTGTCTTTTGTGTGGAATTCAAGGTATTAAAGATAATCTAACAGCTATCAGTATGGTCCAAATATTAGTATTCACACTTTCAAAACTTAATGCTAGTAGATCTAGTACTAAGAAAAAATATGATATAATTCAATTTGAGGATATTTCAACATGAACACTTTTAAATATTGTCATCAATAATTTTGATTGTAGATATTGATCAACTTTTCCCACAAGAAGAAGCATTTGCCTCCAGGGTACCATGGACGTGTGGCAATATAAATCCAAAGGACAACTGAGGCCTAGTTAAAAGCCACTTTCCTGCACATTCGGTCTTAGACTACATTGTTTGCTAACAATAGGACTCAAACTGATTTACATACTAAGGAAAAACTCTGCTAAGGAAATTAATCTTAGGTGTTATTTCAATTAAATGCTCTTATTACTTAATTGTAATGTTTTTAATGTACTGAATAGGTTAATTTGAATAAATTCACAATTGTTTGAAAATTTTGTTTGTTTATTTTTTTCCTCCCTCCCTCGTAGGTTTTGAACTTTAGATGTGACGTTAAACGTAGAATTAACTTTAAACAGCCTAACTAGATAAACAGAATAACACACAGATCATTGTCATGGTAACTAGATAAACAGAATAACACACAAATCATTGTCATGGTAACTAGATAAACAGAATAGCACACAAATCATTGTCATGGTAATAAAATAAACAGAATAACACACAAATCATTGTCATGGTAACTAGATAAACAGAATAACACACAAATCATTGTCATGGTAACAAAATAAACAGAATAACACACAAATCATTGTCATGGTAACAAAATAAACAAAATAACACACAAATCATTGTCATGGTAACAAAATAAACAGAATAACACACAAATCATTTGGTAACTAGATAAACAGAATAACACACAAATCATTGTAACAAGATAAACAGAATAACACACAAATCATTGTCATGGTAACAAAATAAACAGAATAACACACAAATCATTGTCATGGTAACTAGATAAACAGAATAACACACAAATCATTGTCATGGTAACAAAATAAACAGAATAACACACAAATCATTGTCATGGTAACAAAATAAACAGAATAGCACACAAATCATTGTCATGGTAACTAGATAAACAGAATAGCACACAAATCATTGTCTAGGAACTAGATAAACAGAATAGCACACAAATCATTGTCATGGTAACTAGATAAACAGAATAACACACAAATCATTGTCATGGTAACTAAATAAACAGAATAACACACAAATCATTGTCATGGTAACAAAATAAACAGAATAACACACAAATCATTGTCATGGTAACTAGATAAACAGAATAACACACAAATCATTGTCATGGAAACTAGATAAACAGAAAAGCATAAAATCATCGTCATGGTAACTAGATAAACAGAATAGCACACAAATCATCGTCATGGTAATAAGATAAACAGAAGAGCACACAAATCATTGTCACGGTAACTAGATAAACAGAATAACACACAAATCATTGCCATTGTAACTAGATAAACAGAATAGCACACAAATCATCGTCATGGTAATAAGATAAACAGAATAATACACAAATCATTGCCATAGTAACTAGATGATTTCTATGGTTCATTAGTGCATTCAATATACACAAAAGTATACACATAGCTGCATATATACTATGTAAATTACATACGAATTCAAATGGTGTATGTATAGACATGTACCATATATCCAAGCTACAAGTAGGTTGATTGGAAATGTTGACAATTTATTTCTTACATTTTCAGGGATTACCACCCAGGGGAGAAAAACCAAACAAATTACGAGAGAAAAATGCAGAAATAAATTTTAATTTGTCACAAAAAATTGAAAACATGCCTAATGTTAGTTTCCTGAATGTAGAAGCATCCATGTTTGTCCGAGAAAATGGTCTCATCAGCCATACCGACATGTATGATTATCTTCATCTTACGAACGCAGGTTATCAAAAACTATGTGAACCGTTACTAGAGGAAATTCAGAACTTACTGCAAGTGTTCATGAAAGTAGAGAACACATCAATGACAATATCTACAACAGCATCGGATGTTGATGAAGAAGATAGCTAAACCAAGACTGTTGTGATACTCAGACAACTGTTATATACATAGGTGGATGATAATAGAGGGCTTATCAAGCTTTTGTTATTGTTGTGGCTTAAAAATCTACTCTGTGCAAAAAAATGTCCCAAAAGTCCAGATTAATTTTATGCATACTTTTAAATTAATATACAATGTACATAAAATTTTTTCAAGGAATATCTAATTTGAAAATGATTGTTGATGCATATTTTTGATATGAACCATGAGGTACCATAGCAAAGTTTAATGTTTATATTTATTTTTTGCATTGTACAAGGTATACTTCATGGAATTTTTTTAATAGACTTTCTTCTGATATTTAGCTTTTAGGCATTCACATGCAATATGGTATTATTACCATAAATAAGATATAAAAAATTTAATAAGAAGCTCATGTAAATGAACTCTTGCAAGTTACATCTTTTGCTGATATTTTTTCTTTCCTCTTTGAGTGATATTTTTTTTCCGCTTTGAGAGATTTTATCTAGAATATGTACAGTAAAACTCGGTTATAGCGAAGTCCTGGGGACCTGTGAATTTAATTTGCTATGTCCGTAATTCGTTATAACCATTTAACGAATTCGTATGACCATTACAGCGAATTCGCAATATGCATGCTTTCCTTCAAGTATTACTACCAAATATGTTAGGGAAGCAAATATTACAAAACATATCTTCGATAACTAAGGTTTTATTATGAATTGAATTTTATATTCAAATGCTAAAAGGAAGTAAGGCTAGATTAATTTTATCATTTTTTTATAATCTTCGAGAGTTCGTTATAAAAGATGGAAATTTCATTATATCTAACTTCAATGGGACTCAAAATGAGTTCACTATATCCGTAAATTCATTATATCAGAGTTCGTTATAACCGTAAAATTTTACAAAGATTTGTTTAGAATTTTGCCGGGGACCCAGAAAAACTTCGCTATATCCGTGAATTCGCTATATCCGTGTTCGTACTAAACGAGTTTTACTGTACTGTTATTCTGTTAAATCCAAATATTCCAAATTTTTCAGCTTTATGATTATCTATTGAGAAACGTTTGTGAATTACATGTAATATAAATGTTACAGTTTGTCAGCATTATGTACCTGTGCAATACTATAAGCTATACATTACATGACATTCATTGTGGATGGCTGGTCAATCCTTTCTATTCCAATCGACATGGGTTCCAAACCCGTCTGAGATATTATTTTTGAATTGATGCCACTTGATTGGGTGTTTTTTTATGTGTATATAGGAAACAGTGTAAAGATATTAAAATTTTCCTTTATAAAGACAAGGTTACTATATTTGAATCATGTACATTGTAACTTATATATCTGAAAATGGCATTATAAGAAATGAAGGTAAACTGGGTCACTGTTTCATTTTATCGTGTCTACAATAATTGCCGTTTATGCTAAATGTTGTTTTGAAAGGGAATATATATTTTATCGGACAGTAGAATTTTGAAATCATTCGTGTGAATGGCTCTCCGTATAAATCTTTGTGGCTGGGCCTTATTGACTAACATTCCAGACGAAGTGCAATAAATTCTAAGTTCAATAACATGAATAAAGTCAGGTGTGCAATATATTCTAGGTTTGATGATGTCAGAAGTTTGGTTGTTTCATATTTTATCACTGTGTTATGTTAATATGTGTTATAAAAATGGCTTCTGAATGACTTGTTATGAATTTTGTTTAAAAATTTTTTTTATTTTTATGATCTCAGCCGATTATTTTTTTTCTTAATTGTTTATTTGCTTTTTTTCTGGTGCATGGGAAAAAAATTCTTCCAAATGGCATACAAACAAATTTGGTAAAATATTGTACCTCATTCATCAAAATTATAATATAAACTGAATTATGATATTAATTTCAGTGACGGAATGTCACTGATTGTTATGTCTAAAAATAATCTACACATTAACTACAACTATTTCCATCCAATTATTTGATAAAGATTTTTTTATCCAATAATGAGTTTTAATCCATGGGAAGAGTGCTGATTGTGCTGTCACATCTAATAATACAGAATGTGTGTGATTCTGTGACAATATTGTTAAAAAAATTATGATAAATGTGACCTGTGTAATTGTATGATTTAACAAGAAAATTACTGTGTTCAAATATTCAATACTCATGCAGCAAACATTAATTTTGGTGGTGTGATTATAGCAGATTGTCCTGGCACTGTCAACCTGTGTAAAATTACAAGCCTGTTTGTACACCTGTATATTAATGTTTTAAGTTTACGCAAATCTGATAGTAAATATTTACAGTGCTTTTGAGGTTGATTTATTTCTTTAAGAACCTGAGTTGTACAGTTTAAGTAGCACACTATGGTAAATTATTTTTCATGGAGTTGAAATCTTTCTAAAATCGTGCTTTAGTGGTACATGTAGCTTTTTACTTTGTAAAGTTTCTTAAATTTGCTAGGTTATAATGTAGCGTTTTGTATATTTTGTGATCGGAGCAATTATATTTTAGGTCAAAAGTAACTACCGGTATAAAGATTTTATATTTTTATTTTATTATTTACATGAATTTATCTTTTTATTGACCCCCCCCCTTTCCACTAATATACCACCTCCAACCTCGTTGCGATCATTATAAATCGAAAACTATCCATTTTTCCTCATACGTATTTACCTCACAACATCTCTAGAATCCAGGAAGTACCGGGGGCTATTGCCCCTGGGCCCCGACCAGGGCTTCGCTTTAGACCCACTGGGGGTCTCAGGGCGGGCCCCAGACTCCCTGCCTACTTTTTGCGTCCCCTTTAACTTCAATTCCTGAATCCGCGCCTGATATATATCGTAGTATCTAATATGTTATGTGGTACTTCATCGTGGCAAACCACGGCCAAAATGTACGATCCTCTCCCATTCTGGTGAGAGAGAGAGAGAGAACTATGAGGACTCCGGACCGTGACTTGAGACGATGGTCATACTTAAAATATATATAATACACCACAGTTATTTGACCAGTTCCGAATAAGAAACGGATCCGTTGGTGCTATAAATATATGAGGCATTATTTCAAAATCTAAGTTTTTAGCTCACCTGAGCCGAAGGCTCAAGTGAGCTTTTCTGATCACATTTTGTCCGGCGTCCGTCTGTCCGTCTGTCTGTCTGTAAACTTTTCACATTTTCGACTTCTTCTCAAGAACCGTTGGGCCAATTTCAACCAAACTTGCCACAAAGTATCCTTGGGTGAAGGGGATTCAAGTTTGTTCAAATGAAGGGCCACGCCCTCATTCAAGGGGAGATAATTGGGAATTAATGAAAATTTGGTGGCATATTTTAAAAATCTTCTTCTCAAGAACCACTGTGCCAGGAAAGATGAAACATATGGGGAAACATCCTCAGGTAGTGTAGATTCAAGTTTGTTCAAATCATGACCCCTTGGGGTAGGGCGGGGCTAAAATGGCCGACCAAACTTTTACATAGAAATATATAGGAAAATTCTTTAAAAATCTTCTTCTCAAGAATGTCAAAGCCATAATTCATCATATTTATATGGGAGCATGCTCAGGTAGTGTAGATTCAAGTTTGTTCAAATCATGACCCCCGGGGGTAGGGCGGGGCCAAAATGGCCGACCAAACTTTTACATAGAAATATATAGGAAATTTTTTTTAAAAATCTTCTTCTCAAGAATGACAAAGCCATAATTCATCATATTTATATGGAAGCATGTTCAGGTAGTGTATATTCAAGTTTGTTCAAATCATGACCCCCGGGGGTAGAGCGGGGCCAAAATGGCCGACCAAAGTTTTACATAGAAATATATAGGAAAATTCTTTGAACATCGAGATCTTCTTCTCAAGAATGACAAAGCCATAATTTATCATATTTATA